AAGTACTTCCATGACAAGCTCAGAAGAGTTCCAAAGTCAGGAAAGGGATGTCCAGAGAAACACCAGCGGATTTTCCAGGTAGAAACAAAAAAAATTATATTGACTTTACGTGTGAAAGTCAAACGTAATTCCAGGACAAATCGAGAGGACTTAAACGACAAGCCTGAAGGATTTCTAAGTCAAGCCTAGAAGACTTCCAGGGTACTGGATTTCCAAGGAAAGCCCAAAAAACATCCACGGTAAGTCCATAGATCATCCAGAGAAAGTTCAGAAGGCTTCCAGAACAAGTTCAGCAGTCTTATAGGAGAAATACAGTGACTTCGAGCAAAAGTCAAAAGAACTTCCACGGGACTTCCAGAGGAAGCCCAAAGAACTGATAGAGTAGATGAAGACTTCCAAAACACGTCCAAGCGACTTTGAAAGCGAATCCATAAATCATCAAGAGAAAGTTAAAATTACTTCCTGAACAAACCTGGAGGACATTCAGGGCTGTTATCCGCTCGGTTATTCGTCCAGCAGGTTATGTCTTATGCTCATGCAACGATGAAAGATCTCGTTCAGGAAAAATGACCAGGGATTGCCAAACCTATGCACCTAATGCACGGCAGCAATCCAACCATTGGTGTAGGGATATCCTTCAAATGATACTTACGTATATGTGCGGGTAAGGGAGTCGACTGCACGAAAATGTCTTCGGGGATTATGCCGGACAATTGACAGCATCTTTAGTGAGAAATATCTGCGCTTTTTAACCCTGTTGTAAGTCGATGAAAAACGAGGCGCTTACGATTTTGGAGCTTTGCTAAAATTATTGAAACTTTTCTGAAGTTGTTGGAACTTGTTTTAAAATTAACGCTAAACAATTTGAAACTTCGATTTAAGTTTTCGGACCTTCGCTGAAGCTCTCAGAGCTCGTCTGAACTACTTCTCAAAATTTCTCTGATGATCTCGGAATGACTCCGAGGTTCATGGATCTTTGCTGAACCTTGCATAAGGGTTTGAAGCGTCACTGAATTGTTTTAAACTTGACCAAAGTCCCTGGAACTTTACTTACGGTTTTTGAACTTCGTGGACATTTTTCAAACTTTGTTAAAGTTTTTAAAATTTTGCTGAATTTAAACGCTGAATATAACGGAGCTTAACACCCCGATGGGTCTGGGTTCAATACCAGCCGAGGTCAGTGGGATTTTTCTGAGGCATAACAATCTCTGGTCACGTCTTCCTTCGGAAGGGAAGTAAAACCGTTGGTCCCGGCCCATGTGTGTTGAATGGGTGCGATATCCTACGCAGGTGTGGAAGCTGCCTTCCTGCACATTCGATTGCCGTCAAGATGGCAATCGATTTTCCGTCGGTGATTGGCACTAGATTGCGGAACAGAGACCGACGTTAAATAAAGGAAAGAATAACGGAGCTTATCTCAAAAGCATAAACTGTTCCGTAGAATACTCCAAAGTTTTCGGAATTTCTCCGAAATTTTGAAATCCTTCCGAAGTTCTCGGAATTTCCCTGTTTCGGGGCTTATCTCATGTCTCTCTTGGATCTTGGCTAAATTTATATATGCTGTGCTTAAAAAATTGAACTTTATTGAAAATATGAATACGAACTATGCTGATGTTTTTGAAGCTGCTGATAAGCTCTGAGAACTTCATCGAACGTACAAGAAATTCAGCGAAATTCCTAAACCGTCAACAAAGTACAAAAAATGTCATCAAAGTTCCAAAATCTTTAGAAGCTACAAACATTTCAGAGAAGTTAGCAAAAGTTCAGCTTAATTCGTATGACGTAACTAAATTTCATATATTTCAAGTAAGGCTGCAAAAAATTCAGAGAAGGTTCAAGAGCTTCAGTGAAATGTGAAAAACTTAAGATAAGCTCCGCAAAGATCCGAAAATCACAGCAAAGTTAAAACAAATTCAGCGAAGTTCCAAACATTTCAGAAAAATTGAAAAAACTACAGCGAAGTTCAAAGAACTTGAAATAAGGTCCGAGTACCTTAAAGAAGTTCAAGTAGTTGTGCTAAGCACCAAGAAATTCAGCTAAGCTTCATGAGCGTCAGCAAAGTTCCAAAAACTTCAGTTAAGATTTAAAAAAATTGCGAAATAGAATTTCACAAATGTTTCAAAAGTTTCAGCGAAATTTTAAAACTTCACCAATGTTCATAAATCTTCAATAATGTTTCAATAAATTTAGAGAAGCTTCAACGAAGTTTCAACAACTTAAGCTCCGAAAACTTCAGTGAAATTCCAAAAATTTGAACGGAGTTCAAAAATTTCAGTGAAATTCCAAACATTTAAGCAAACATCCGGCAAACTTTCTTGCGGATTTCTTGATAAAATGCCACCTGTCTTTTAAATACTACTTGGGGCTCGTCGTTTCGGATTGGTTGGGATGCAAGTTTCTATAAGTTTCACATAGATTCTCGCTTACAAGTTTTCTGCTTTCTGGTTCACCCCAATGTTCGAACCTTGAGACACATCAAGCCAAGTTCGACACAACGCCTCATCTTCTAGATGGGTCAAACTTTATCCACGTGGCTTGGACGCACTCATTTTGCAGAAGAGTTTTAGTTCTAGCCGAATTATGCACGAAACAATCGTAAAGCAAAATTGACCACGAGACGTCCCAATTAGTTGATCCTCACACAAAATTGGCACCGGTGGGCTTGGTAATGACCCGATTTTGTCAGTCTCAGTACCGGACTTTTATCCTTCAATCATTTCACATAACCGTAATTCCAAATCAATCTCATTCATCTTAAAGATGGTTGTTTAAGGTATACCTTGGTGCAAATAGACTACTCAAAAAGCGCTTGGCTTTCGTAGAACATAAGAAAAGATGTTCAAATGGGGTCTGACAAAATGGGGTCACAAAGATTTTTCATCTAACTTCTAAGGATTAATCGAAAAATGAATAGCGTCCAAATGTAGATCTTTTAATTTCAAGAAACTTTCCCCAGTACCCCACATACCAAAAATGAAGTTTTCCTACTCAAATCTCAGACGATCACGATGTTTCGGTTTTAGACCACTGTGGAGGGAGGAGGAGGGCTTAACTAGGTTTTTAATTAGAGAAAGTTCAAAGGTCTTCCAAGGTAGCTCCAGAGGACTTCGGGGACAAATTCAGAGAACACCAAGAACAAGTCCAGAGGATTTCCAAAATACTTCCAGCGCAAGTCCAGCTTTCCAAGAATAGTCAAGAGGTTTTCTAGAAGATGTAAAGATTGTACTCGAAAAAATGCAATACTTTCTTTTTTGTATAACTTTTTATTGCATGGGTAAAAATTGATAATTTTTTTAGTAAGACTAGTTTAGATTGCAATGTTTACATGTGCAAAATCTAGTCACAATCTATCAAGTGGTTATCGAGATGACTTTCAAGCAAGAAGTGCTTCGACAAAAAAATTATGGGACCAGTCGTGGAAAATCCAGGCTAGTCCCACAGGTGGATCGCGAAACAGTTTGGAATCGTGTGGTAAAATCGTTAAATGAGTCCTAGACAACCCAGCGGCGAGCTGGCAGCGATCGACCCCGTGAACGCAAGGAAGGTGAGTGATTACTTCAAGTGCAATCCGAACCTTTCGATTCGGGACGTGGCCAAGAAGGTCAATTCTTCCGTCTGGTTCGTCCAGCAGACAATGAAGCGGACCGGACTTCAAGTCTTCAAGGTAAGGAAGGCGCCTAACCGAACCGATGAACCGAATACGGTAGCCAAATCCCGCGTCAGGAAGCTGTACCGCGAGTGGTTGGTGCAGCCGAGATTTTCGTCGGCAAGTCCCGCCTGGATGTTACGGAAGAAGAAGGTCGACAAATTTTCCAAGAAGTACTTAGTGTGACAGACGATCTGTGGGTGCGGCAAATTCTGCAAGCCGGACATAACGGCCAAATATATAAAGAAGAATGTCTCCAGAAGCGCCTGCTGTCCTTCCTCCGGTCCCACGAAGGTGACACTCTGTTTTGGCCGAATCTGGCATCGTGCCATTACGCGAAACCGGTGATGAAGTGGTACGAAGCCAACGATGTTGTTTTTGTGCCGAACGAGGAAAATCCACCAAACTCGCTAGAACTTCGCCTAATAGAAAAATTCTGGGCGATTATGAAAGGCAAGCTCCGGAAAACAGGGAAGGAAAGTGGATGAAAGTGTGTAAGAAAGATAGCGTAAGTGTTGCACAGGATTTGATGGGTAGCGTTAAGTCCAAGGTGCGGGCATTTGTGTGTTTATTTATTCCCTGAGAGTTTCAACAGTATCCGACTTAAAATAATTTTTTGGTGATCATTTTTGCCTGCTGCATTTTTTTTTCGAGTACAGTCTTTACAAGGCATATTAGGGGGGACTTGCAGAGTTGGTACAGAGAACTTGCAAGGAAAGTCTAAAAAACATCAAAACGGAACATCAGCCATAGTTAAATGGACTTTCAGGGTAACTCAACAGGACTTCCTCCACATGTGCAAATTCATAGCACTTCCAAGGCAAGTCCAGGCGACTTACAGACTAAATACAGAGGGCTTCCAGAAGAAGTAACAATTTTGGATTTATGAGGGTTCTGTACACCATAATTTAGGTTTGTAGAATGGTTTAAAACATCGATAAAATTTGCAATATTACTTGGGATAATGACTTGCAGTACAAGTCCAAATTACTTCCAGGAAGAGTTAGAAGCTCTTCCAAGGTAAATCCAGAGGAGTTTCAAAGCAATTCCAGAATACTTCGAAGGATAATTAAGAGAATTACCAGAACCAACCAAGAGGAAGGAGTCCAAAGTCCAAAGAACTTCAAGGCCTAATCTTAGGCTGATCCAGGACAATTCCTAAAAATTTCAGGGCATCTTCAGGCACAGGACTACTAAACTGAATCCATAGTATTTTATGAAACAGTTAAACGACTTCCAGAAAGCTTTCAGAGGCTATTCGATGGCCCTTCAGGGATAATTATTATCCTATGTGGATATTATGAGCTGTGTAAGAGACTAAAATACAATCTGCAACCTCTGATATCATACTTACCGAGCAATCGCTGTCACCCACGTAGCAACAGTCACCGGACACCGACGTCGGCACCCACAGATGGTCTCCGGAGACGGCATTCTCACTCCAGTCGGGCGTACAGCGAATCTGTCTCCCGTGAGTATCGGCGCTGGGTTTTCTACAAAAAAAGCAAACAGAACAAAAACTGCTATGAAATCAGGAGGCTTCTCGAACAACGAAAACGGAAAGGGTTGAAAATGAGCCGCTAATGGGAACATATTATCCCATCGCTCTCCATTTCCTTTGCGAACGCACACTACTGCTGAAATTGAATTTACGGTTTAAAATTTACGGCTCCATAAATTGTCATTACGAGCGAGCGAGCGAGCGAGCAAATTTTGGCTGTATCTGCCTATGTTGCAGTCGGAAAAATGTCTGGTAAAAATACGACCCGGTCGGGATTATCAAAGAGGAAATTTAGGATCAAATACCTGAATTTGTAGGGCAGCAGTGATCTGTCTCGGTAACGGATGGCTTTTCGCCGCCCGGACCAACCCCGGCTGAGGCGTCTCTGCTGCGGGACACCATTGTGTGCGGAACCGACAAACAGCGGTGCCGACAGACTCCGTCCGTAGTACCTCATCATTCGCCGAGGTTTCGAAACGAATGCGGAGACGGCAGTCATCGACGTTCTTTGATCCGGTACCGGTGGAATCGGACAGCTGCACGTTCTTCGGTACACCCGGGCACTGCAAACCGGCCGATGGCGGATGCTGGATGTCGAACACTTTCTCCGAACGAGGCAACTGCCCACGACACTGACGGAACAGGCCTTGGCCACCATTGCTGGCCAGCCACGTTTGCGACGTTTTTTCGATTTGTTAGTTACACTTGAAAATAACGATCCGTAGCAGGGAAGGCACAGACGGGCAGCTGATGCGTTGATTATTACCATTTCGGGCGATTATCTGCGAGCACTTAGTCCTACGAAATATGGTGCGTCTCCATTAGGGCACGTTCCACGCCAAATGACGAATCGTTTAGACTTCGATTTTCATGAAACTTTGCAGATTTTTTTATTATGGGGAATCATTAACATTTTAGCTCAAATTCGGCCATTTTGGATCTTGTAATTTTTTTCTCAAAATGGCGTCTTTGACAGTTTTCAATAAATTGTATTACGAAAGTGTCACTTCTGATCAAAATTACGTCTGAGATAAAGTTGTAGATAATAATAAAGTTGCTTCAGGAAAAATATACACAGTAAAAATTATCTAATGATTTTGTGTAAAAATAAAAATAAATAGAGATAATAAGTTAAATATCTCAAAATGACATCGTTCAATATTTTCATTTATTTTATTTTTAAAATGCTAATGAAAAATGCAAATTTTTGAACTATTGAAAACCATGGACACTTGAATATGTGTGACATTTTAAATCAGTTTCTGTCCAAGAGCTACATAAAAAAGTGTACTAACAAAAAGTTAAAAAATTACAGCAAAAGTTGATAATTAACGATTTCTGATAACTTTCAAGTGTTCAAGGTTTTCAATATTTCAAATGTTTGAATTTTGTATGAGTTTTTTTTTAATTAAAAACAAATAATAATTTCATATGGAAATTGCGAGATATTTAAGTTTTTAACACATTTTAAGGATTTTTATATAGTTATGAAAAAAATTCTGTGGATTATTTATCCTAGAAAGAGGTTATTGTTTTTCTACAACTTTGTCGCAGACGTCATGTCTATCAGAATTGATGTTTTCGTGCTACAATTATTAAAAAATGTTGAAGAAGCCATTTTAAAACAAATTTCAAGATCCAAAATGACCGAATTTTTGCAAGATTTCATGCGAATCGAAGAAGGTTGAGTCAAAAATGCATTCTTTGTTGCTATTTGACCTGGAACTGCTCATTTCATAGAATTTTCCGAAAAAAAATCGCATGGCCATTTCTCGAAATCAGCTGAAGGGAATTATTTGATTTTAAATGTTTCTATCACTTAAGCCTCGACAGCCGACAACCGACAACTGCAGAGCGAGGCGAAAGCATGGATTAATCGGTGATAAATTTAGTTTTGTTCGATTCCGATCCTGCCATATGTTTGTGTCGGATTGCCGGGGATGCGGCGGCTTTTGCGGCTGTCATTAGGTAATAAATTTCGCGCCTAGAGACTACAAAAATGGCACGAGTACGAACGAAAACTAGGGGTGTGCGGAGCGGTCCACGTTTGTTGACTTTCGGTGTTTCGCCGAAAAGTGTGTTGTCGTGGAAGGCAGTAAACATTGACGTCGTCGTCGTTGTTGGATTCGAGTTTGCCACGGAGGCAGACAAGAGGTGTTTATGGAAAATGATTCGGCGGAAAATATGGAGAATTTAGGGGATGAAAAATGGTTAGGAATTTGGTTGACGTTTTGACGTTCCAAGAAGATTTTGGATGGTGTTTTCTTTTGCTATTTTTAAGGAGGCGAAATTATGCGTATCATCGCCTCTTCCATTAGAGTTAGTTGATTTCTCGAAGCCATTCTGATAACCTTATTGTTTAGCCGGCTGTTTGGCTTTAACTTTCAGTAGACACCGGAAATATTGAAACGGGTAGTTTTGAAGGGGTAGAGGGTTGGAGGGTGGTAGGTCGACTCAAGAATTTTGTAACTACCAAAAATCAACCGCCTTGGTATGTCAAGGCAGCAAAATTGCGCTAATTTTCGCCTTCCCTTTAAAATCAGAAACCTGCTATGCAACTGATAGCCACTAAATCCCAATTTCCCAACTGTACCTAGTTCATGACCTCCAACACCTCGTTCCAAGTGACTAGTGCGGCTTTGCTTATTTGATAAATTCAACCAACCAAAGTACATAATTCCAGTGAAATTCCCAAACACAACCTATTTCCACAGCCACAATCCACAGTTGCTCGCCTGTTGGGAATCAAATATAGCATATTGCCATGGTGCGCAGCATCCCATTGGAATGGCTCCCGAGCAAAGTTCAGCTTCAAAATGACAGCAAATCGAAATAAAAATTTAGAGAAAGACATCAAACTGAAACGCGAGTACTCGGTTCAATTCCTTTAACTTTAGATTTTAACTTTAGATTTAAAACATTAATAATGTATAACGCAAAAGATAATTTGGCTTTGTAAAGTTAATTTGATTGAGCCTGTACAAATAAATAAATTTATTAAAAAAAATAAACATCAAACTGAAACGATAATTTGATTTAAGTTTATGCAATTGTCCAATTTGATAACAAATTTAGTTTTCAATTTGCTGTACATTTGCTCTTGAAAACAAAAATATGTTGTTGCAGATTTGTTTGCATTGGCTTAGTAGAACATCAACGAGTATTCACGTTTTGTTATCAACAGGAAAAATGTACATCAAATTGAGTTTTCAGTTTGCTCTCACTGATGAGCAGTTCCACGCCAAATGACGAATCGAAAAAAAAAAACTCGACCTTCTCCGATTTTCATAAAACTTTGCATAATTCAAGAACAACATGTGAAAAGTGCATACAAGCTTATGCCCTTTACTCGCCACCCATATGACATCAACGCAAACCATTAACATTAGCGGGTAGGGGAAGCTTTCCCCTTCCCGATGATGTTGTTGGTTTGCGTGGGCGACCCTCAGTTGGCGAGAAAAGGGCATACAAAGGTTTTTTTTTACAAAAAGCTTGTATGCCCTTTTCACATGTGGCTCTTGAATTGTGTTTTATGGGTAATCATTCACATTTTTGCAAAAATTCGGCCATTTTGGATGTTTTTTTTTTCAAAATGGCGTCTTTGTAATTTTTCCATAAATTGTAGCGCGAAAACGCAACTTCTGATCGAAATGACGTCTGAGACACAGTTGTAGAGAAAAATAAAGAATTTCTAGAATAAATATGCATGGTATTTTTTAGCTATTTTGAGCAAAAATTCCAAAAAAACATTTAAATCATTTTTTTTTAATTAAAAACAAATGTAAAAATATGCAATTTTTTTGAATATTCAAAACTATGGACACTTGAAAAGTGATAAAAATCCTCGAACAAGAATTGCAGGTCAAATATTTGAACTTTTTGCTAGTACACTTTTTTTAATAAAATTTGAACATAGGAAAAAAATATATAAGAAATTCTAAATCTTTATCAGTGCTCAAATTACATCAAAAAGCTACTTAACAAGAAATTTAAAAAATTACAAAACTTGATGTTCTACGAGTTTTGCCAATTTTCAAGTGTCCATGGTTTTAAATAGTCCTAAAGTTTGCATTTTACATGAGCTGCATTTTTCAAAAGTTGAAGATATATTTTTCTTAATATTTCAGTTTTCAACACTTTTTTAAATTTTTATTCAAAATTACAACAACAAAAATTCAGTGTACATGCTCCCCCCCCCCTCCCTCCACTTGTTTTTCTAAACGACTTTGTCTCAGACGTCATTTCGATCAGAACTGACGTTTTAGTGCTTCAATTTATTGAAAAATGTCAAAGACACTATTTTGAAAAAATAAAAAGAAATCCAAAATGGCCGAATTTTCGCAAAACTGAGAATGATTGCCCTTAACACATAATTATTTGCATGCAAATCGGAAAAGGTCGAGCTTCCAAATTTTATATTTTTATCTTATTTGACCTGGAACTGACCTGATATCAGAATTAATTTACGCTGTGATGTCACAGGCAATTTTTGTCGCTCTCAATTTTGATATTTTAACCGTTAAAACGACCAAAACGATAGCAACCTGAGTAATCATTATTTGCGACAACACAACATCAAATTTAAATTTCAATTTGATCTCAGACTTTTGCTCGGGTTGTGTCCCTTTTGCCAGTATAACCTAGGCAAACATGTTTTCGCTTGTGGGTGTTAAATAGTGCTGCAGTTTCTCGCTTCCGGTCACGGCAGGTCAGTGTGTTTAGTTGGTGTTCGAAAATAGATGAACATTTCAAGGAAACGGGACACTGACAAGCTGTTGACAATGCACAATGGTCCCAAGGCCGTATTTAATGAAGACAAAAATGTTTGCGCCCAATTTTAGGTACGTAGTTGCTTCGGGAAAGTTTCTTCATATTTTTTGGCCGATCTTTTCATGTCAGTGAAATTAGGGTGGTCTATAAAATTGCTGTATCGAAAATACAATCTTTTTCATTATTTGATATAGACCACTGCAGCAGGGTTCTGCATTTTCG